GGCAACAGACCGGTAGGAGGTGTGCAAAGACAGAGAGAGAGGGAGAGGGGAGGGGCACCTGCCTGATGTTGACTTGATGTAGATAATCATGTAGCCCACCCAGCCGAGAGACGCCGACCGCCTCCCAGCCCCCTTCCATTGCAGCATCACGCCCCATTCCACGTGTCCCACCACGCCCCGTCTTCCCCATTGCCCCTCCCCCTCAGCCCGTCGGCGAGGTCACGTAGAGTGATGAGACCTTCACCATCCACCTCCCGACGGGCGTGGTGCAGCTGCACGGAGGGGTAGTCCATGAGTGCGAAAACCAGTTCGCGCCTGGGGGGAAGTGGGTGAAGGGGAAGTGGCTGCATGTCCCCGATGGCATAGCGAGGGCGCACGGGTTTCGTACGGCATCACGACCCACCAGGGCCACCCATAGCGGCGTGGGCGGCGAAAGCAGGTACTCAAACGAACGACCCACACTTATGCGTGTGTGTATGTCTCGTGTCATTCAGGTGGCATTGATACTCTGACACGTGTGCAGGAAAGTCAACGTTTCCACAACCGTCTATAACGGCATGGCGGCCAAACCTCACGTCAGAATGGACAACAGTGCCGGCCCTGCACGAGAGCCGGGGCGAAGGAGACCAGCGCCAACGAGCAGAGAGGCCGACGCAGCTGGGAGCAACAGACGAAGAAGGAATCGATGACGAAATACGTGACGAAGGTGGGCAGAGGCAAATCACAGACAGACATATCCTCGCTGCACGTGTGGGTACGTTTCGATGTGTGTCGCGTGCGTCTCAGGTTGGTGTGGATGGCGTGAGTCGTCAGTGTGAGGGCGACCACATTCTTTAGCCCGAAGCGCCAGGCACGGCTCGACAGACACCATAGCAACAGCGACACATAAGGCCGTCGAGGGCCAATGAAATAAAATGTATGCATCGCTGCCTACATTTTATATTCGACGCTCATTTCGCTCAGCACCACGGTCGAATTGGAACGGGAGTAGGATCCCGGGAGACAAATATGTGCCCTCCCCGCCCGCAGCTTTGTGCGTGTCGATGTGATTGGTGTGTGTCTCCGTGTGTGGTGTTTCGATGTGTGCTGCGTGCGTTTGCTTGGGTAGGGGTGGATGCCATGGTCTGTAAGTGTGAAAGCAGCACTCGCAGGCAGACGAATCGATCCTGATTCAGGACTCGTTCAGGATAAGTCACACACATTCATGTGGAGTGGACCGATTGGCTCATCAAGGCTTCATTGGGCAGCAGAGTGAGCGGAAAGCCCATAGCGTCAGTCACGAAAAAGAGTCGACGAGATAGACGCGGTGGTGCAGCACAATAAATACATGCAGTCACCGCAGTTTATCCAGACACACACACAGCAAACAAGTTGAGGCAGCAATGACACTGTCTGTATGGGATTACCCCAAACGAAAAAAAGCTCACTCACGCACAGCAGCTGACAGACAACACCAGACGCCTGACTGACTCGATAAAGGCCCGCAGGATGAAAGGGAGGGCATCACACGTGCGCAAACTGGTGTGGGTGTCTATCTATGTCTGGCTGGCTCCAGTTGTCATGGTGGACGGCAAGCGGAATTCCACGGGGCCCTTGGCGGCACTGTCAGCTGACTCCTCAGCCTAGATACACCCGCACGAGCCGTCCATCCATTCATTCATTCATGCGGCCTCTTTTGTGTATGTGTGTGTGTGTGTGGGCGTCTGTCTGTACCTCGAGAGAGAGGAGGTGGTTGACAGCGCTGCAGATGGCCTTCAGGGAGGCCGTGTTGGTGTTGACGTCACTGCCAACCTGCACACACACACACACACACATCATGGGTGGAGACATCACATCCCGGCTCACGTGACGTACCCCGAATCTCTTGACGTTGCCCGACTCTTCGCTCAGCTTGCCGCGGATCTGGACGTAGCACACCGCCTGCAGTGCAGTGCACGTCACACACGCCAGACATAGTATACACATGCATTGATTGCATTAGGTGTGTGACTCAGTGACCACCTCAGCTTTGGATCCTTTGCCGATGGCGTGCTGGTAGTACCGCATCACCTCAACCTGAGGGCAGTCAGTGAGTGCACGGCAAGGAAGGGAAGGCCACACACTCACTCCACAGTCACAGACACCTGCATGTATGCTATCTATGCTATGCGTGTGTGCATGTCAGTCATGTGTGGATGAATGCATTCATCTGTGCATTCATTTGTGTACGTACGTGTTGCCTGAGGTGTGTATTGAGGCCCTGCACAAAGGCGTCGATCGGACCGTTGCCCCCGCCACGCACCGACACCTACACACACCGATGTGCGGACGATAGATGCGATCCAGGATGTGTGGGTCCTTGAGGGATTTCCCCTGCTTTGCTTCTTCACCCACTCTCTTACCCTTTTGCCATCGAGAATCACTTCAGCCACCACAGTGACCGGCTCCACACCACCTGACGGACCCACGGACTGTATCGGACCTACACACACACACACACACACCCTCAGCTTGATAGATCCACATGCATTTGTATGTGTATGTGTGTGTGTGTGTGTGTGTGTGACATACCGAGCTCCGCCCCGTTGGTGCTGCCGATCCACTCGCCGTTGATGACGTTGGGCAGCGGGGGGCCGGTGGGGACCTCCCCGTGCAGCACCCTGTACTCCAGCAGCTGCAGGGGCGTGTGTCTGACGAGGTATGTCTGCCTGAACAGCTCCCACAGGTCGTAGACGGATGCCTCCACCTCGTGTGTGCCCGTGTAGGCCTTGACCAGCTGCGCGAACTCCACCTGCATCTCGCGAGGCAACACGTACCCTAACGACGGACACACACACACGCGTGTCATCTGGGTGCTCTCCGTCTGTGTGTGATTGATGTGGTTACCGAATTCCTTTTCCATGAGGAATGCGACGCCGCCCTTGCCGGACTGGCTGTTGATGCGCACGATGGACTCGTAGCTGCGGCCGAGGTCCTGCGGGTCCAGCGGGAGGTACGGCACGCGCCACATGCCGTCGCCGTCCTCAGCAGCTGTGAGACCCTTGCTTATCGCATCCTGAACGACGCATAAACACGTTGGCATAATGTGGGGAGGAGAGGTCCGTGTGCTGTCTTGCGGCCGTTTCTTTACCTGGTGTGTGCCTGAGAAAGATGTGAAGACGAGCGCCCCGCCCCATGGGTGCCGCGCACCCACCTTGACCTCTGTCGCATACTCTACAACCTGTAGATTGACAGACACAGACACCCATTCCATTCCATTCCGCACACACACGATGAACATGCAGTGAATGCACTGTATGCCGCTCGTCCCTCCCTCCCTCCTTCACCTCGACGGTAGACGGCAGGTCCGACAGGTCGATCTTGGGGTCGACCCCCTCTGAGAGCATGTTGCACGCGAGTGTGACGAGGCAGGCATTGCCGGCCCTCTCGCCGTTGCCGAACATGCAGCCCTCCACCCGCTGCCCCCCCGCCATCAGCCCCAGCTCCGTGGCCGCCACGGCCGTCCCGCGGTCGTTGTGCGGGTGCAGCGACAGAATCACACGAGAACGGTCCTGTGTGAAGAGAGCCATTGATGTGCGAATGTGCACCTGTGTGTGTCTGTGTGTGTGGTTACCGGTATGTGTGTATGCAGCCATTCGACCCGATCTGCGTAGAGGTTGGGGGCCATGGTCTCCATGGTGGCGGGGAGGTTGATGATGGCCGGCCGGTCGTCCGTCGGCTGCCACTCCCCGAGTACCCCCTCGATGACCGCCAGGGTCAGCTCCATCGGGGCCCGGGTGAACCATGAGGGCGAGTACTCGAGCATCACGTCATCCGTGTCAAGCTGCTCACGCACCTGACGGTGCAGATCGCGGGCCGACCGGACAGCCAGGTCACGGATGCCGGCCTGGTCAGTGCGATACACCTGACACAGCGAGGGAGGGAACACAGAACCGTTGAGCAGCTCGTGTGTGGAGTGGGCGGGTTGCGGAAAGAGGGAACAGTGCGATTGTACCAGTTGTGTCTGTATGGGGTCGATAGGCGTCATGAGATGGAAGAGCAGCTTCTGCCCGCCCTCCAGCGCGGCGATGGACCGGTCGATGGCCTCCAGCCTGCCGTGGGTGGCAACGCAGACCCTCACTCCGCTGGGTATAAGCTTCTTGTCGATGACGTGGCGGCAAAAGTCAAAGTCGGCGTCAGACGAAGAGGGGAAGCCGATCTCTATCTCCCTGAACCCCAGGCCCAGCAAGTGGTCGAAAAGCAGGAGCTTCTTCGGTATGTTCATCGGGTGGACAAGAGCCTGAACACACACAGACAAGACACCGGCCAGCATCCACCCCCTCTAGCTAGTGGATGCGGCTGCGGCTGGCTGACCTGGTTGCCGTCCCTGAGGTCAACCGAGCACCATGTGGGTGCCTCGGTGATGGTCCTGTCGGGCCACTGCCGCCGCGGCCACTTGTCGTCGAACGCTATCCGATCGGGCCGGGGATACTTGTGCGCCGGCATCACCTCCTTGCCCCTGAACACACACACACACACACATACACACACACACACACCGCCACAAAACAAGTCATTCACTTCTTCGCATTCATTGTCTGAGTGTACACGATTCATGAATGCTGCTTGCTCTCGTCGGGTCATATATTACCTGCTGCTGGCTCCCAGGCCACTGGGTGGAGGCGCTGCTTGTGAGGCGGCGTAGCAAAAGCACCGGCAGGCACCAAGCCAATGCCGCCTCGTCTGACGAATTTGATGCTGGTGTCCTTGGCAAGCCTTCATCTCGCCTCATCCAATCGCACCACACGCTTTCCCCTTGTTCCGCGAGCTAGTAAGCTCGCTCGCGTTTACACAACCGTTGAAGAGGTACAGCGAGAGAGGCGGCGTGCTGGGTAATTAAGGAGGGGGCTGTCAAAGGACGCAACGACAGGCAGGCAGTTCGAGGTTTTGCACACTCTGTATCCTGCCTACTGCACACGACTGTCTGGGCTCCGCTGCGGTGGGTGTGGGGGGAGTGAGAAATGAAGACCACGGCGCGAATGAAGCTCGTCTGCCTGGCGGCCCTCCTCATGTCGGGCGTGTGCCAGGAGGAGGAGGCGTCAGACGACAAAGGCGAGAGCAAGGACAAAGGCAAAGGCAGCGGCAGCAGCTACCCGTGTTGCGACGAGTGCACCAAGCCGTATTCGGCAGGCGAGATCAGTTCGGTTGAGAAGTTCACGTACGGCCGGTTCGAAGCCAACATAATGGTGGGCACCGAGACTGAGGGCACCATCAGCGCCTTTTTCCTCTACAAGGACCTGTATGAGGTCGGCCACATGGACCTCACGGCCCCCTGGCAGGAGATCGACTACGAGATCCACGGCAAGGGCCACTACACCCAGGACCCCATCCAGACCACCATCATCACCGGCAACGTCACGCACAGGCAGCTCGCCGAAAAGTACTACGCCGCCCCGGGGGTGCTGTATGACAGCGACTCCCAGTCGGCCTTCATCAAGAAGCAGTTCCACATCTTCACTATCGACTGGACGCCTGACTACGTCGCATGGTACCTCGACAAACGCCCTCTGCGCGTCGAGACGACCTGCGCAGACGAGGGCAAGCGGCGGCATGTCGGGGAGCTGGTGTCGGAGTATGTGGCGGGGGGCGACTTATCTCTCCATGACGCCGAAATGTTCGGCTGCCTCGACGCCATCAGCACCTTCACCGAGGCCATGTTCCTGCGGTTCAACCTCTGGCCCCTCAACTTCAACACCTTCGACGCCGCCGAGGCATGGGCGGGTGTGTACGACAGCCACATCGACGGGACGGACCGCACAGCCGGCCGCAGGCAGGACCACTCCTTCTCCTACGTCGACTGGGTGCGCGTGTACGACTACGACACCGCCAATCGCACTTTTGTCAAGCGGTGGGAGGACACATTCGACGACCCCGAGCTGGACGCCAACAAATGGCTGGTGGAGACCCACACCTTCGACATCAACTACGCCGACTTTGCAAGGGAGAACGTGCACCTCGTGCAGCCGGGGTTGGGGCAGTCGTACCTCGTCTTTGAGGTGTCGCCCAAGTGTGAGGCCAGCGAGGACCCCCCTCTGCCGACGGTCGACTCGGGCCGCCTGGACTCTGTCAAGATGGACGTCCTGCCGATGTCGGGATCCTTCCGGGTGTCCGTGGACGGCGAGGAGGGCTACGAGACGCCTCTCAAGGTCTCGATGGTCAACCTCACCGGTCAGCCAGCCAGCCAAACAGACGTTACAACGCACTCAGAGCGACAGACAGCAAACACACACGCCTTTCTTTCTCTCCTCTGTCTTGTTTGTTTCTCTCAGTGATGGCCTCGTCGATCCCCGAGCTGTCGGGTGCCCCGTCGGCGTCAGTGGCGCTCCGGAAGCCGCTGACCAACTCGACCATCAAGGACCTGTGTGCACAGGCGTCCGGCCGTTGGTACGACCCATCGATGGTGCTGGGTCAGCTAGAGCACATCGTGCCGCTGCCCTGGTGGGGCGTCAGGGCGGGAGGCTTCGATCCCGTGTTTGTGGTGGACGTCGAGGATGACGGGCGGCGGGGGAATTTTAAGCAGTGTGCTGAGTACTGCATGGCGTCAGACGTCTGCCAGGTCTTCGAGCTGCACGATCCCGGCTACCAAAACGACCAAGTGAGCCACCGAGACGAGAAGCACACACACACACAAGAGAAAGGGGCAATGTGGGCGTGTCGTGCGCGCATTCTTTCGTTCATTCATTCATTCATTCATCGGTTCATCCAGTGCACGGGTTATCAGTATGTGGATCACCTGCACAGCGCGCCTGCGATCTTCCGTCACGCGGGCCTCTACTGCCTCAACGCGGGATGGCTCTGCAAGGAGGGCACCTGCATCACCAAACCCCCCTACTCCATACCCCTCTGGGCTTGGCTCGTCGGAGCCACACTCGCGGCATTTTTCCTACTGCCTCTCATCAGGTAACTAAACACACACACAGCCATCAGACAGACAGACAGACAGACAAGTTTGTGAGACACCTTCTCCGCTTCTTGGCTGCAGTGTGTGTTTCAAGCGTCTGCTCTACTGTTGGTGCACACGGCGGCGTGCGTATGGTCGCGGAGTCGGCATGTGTGGCGGCGCGTCACGGAAGCGGCGGCGGGCCCGTCACGGCCGCAGCACCAACCCCCTGACGCCCGCCGAGACCGGCAGCCCCTTCCCGAGACAGCATGCCATCTGTGTGTGCGGCACGCCCATCTCCACCCCATCCAACTACCCCTCCTCGCCGCAGCCCTGCATACAAGACAACATCGTCGGGCCCACCATGGCCTTCACGGCCAACAGGGTGTCGGGCAGCCTCCGCAAGACCTCGCCCAAGGACAAGGACTTGTTCAGCACTGACCTCCCGATGCCCGAACAACAACAACAGCAGCAGCAGCAGCAACAGCCGCCCCCGCCGCCACCGATGCCGATCCCCCAGCCGACACCGAGTCAGAGTCAGGCCGCGATCACGACGGCCCCGAGCATGGCCACATTGCCCACCACAACCGGGAGCGCCATGAGCAGCAGCGCCAGCAGCATCGTCACCCCCACCCTGACAGCCACCCCCTCCCCCCCGCCCCCGCCCAGCCTCCCTGTGTTAGAGGCCCCCGGCCCCATCCCCCCCGCCCCCACCCCTCCCACACTCACAATCGCCCCACCAGCCGCCCCACCGTCCCATGCCGAGAGCATGGCGAGCAGTGCGTCGTCATCATCGACAGGTCGCAGCAGCAGCGGCAGCAGCGAGGTCGGTCCGCCGCCGTTCAGCGCTCGTGGCGGGAGCGGCAAGACGGAGGCGGTGTGTTTGAGCCCCAGGTGGGACACGGATTCGACGCGGTCGGAGACGAGCATGGGCGGGGGCAGGGGCGGGGGCCTGCAGGGGAACCATGGTGGCGGGAAGGGCGGGAGGCAGACCCGCTGATACGTACGATGTGGTGTGATGTGGTGTGATGTGACAGACACTATCACATCCATGGCATCCACACACGAACGGGGACAGATCAGTCAGGTGATGTTGGTTGGTTGGCTGATCGTTGGTGGGACGGGTGGGTCTGGGAGAGGGAGGAGATAAAGGTGCCTGCCTGCGTGTGTGCGTGACTGCGTGGGTATGCTATGCACATGGCTGTCTGTCGGTGTCTCTGTCTGTCTGCGTGTCTGTCAGGGTGGGAGAGGAGAGAGGGGATGAGTGCAGTGCATACACACATGAGATGGGGCACCACACGCAGTCGTGCATGCATTCATACGCACCAAAGACACATACATACATACGGACACAGGGAGGGAGGGAGGGAGGGACATACACGCACACGCACACGCACACGCACACGCACACGCCTGCCAGCCTGCCTGCCCGTCTGCCCGTCTGTTGGTTGCGTGTCTGCCTGTCTGTCTGTCTGCCTGGCTGCCTGGCTGCCTGCCATCTTCGCCATATTTGTTCCGCCGTCGGAAGTTTTATTCATAACACCAGCCACTCTCATACACACCACACACACACACACACATATACACAGACACACACACACACACATGGCTCCATGCCTACCTACTGCTGATGTGATGCTGCCCGGACCTTTTTCCTCATGGAACGATATATGGTTGTTTGCCCGGCTGTCTTGATGTTTGCCCGCTCTGTGTGTGTGTGTGTCTGTGTGCTGCTTGTATTCATCAGACACTGAGTATCGATATATCTCGCTTTGTATCGCCATACCTAGTACTGGTTGCCTGGCTGCCTGCCTGGCTGCCTGGCTGCCTGAATGGCCTACACACAAATGCTTTATAATTCATTTGCACTCTGACTTGGTGGTGGTCTTCATGGCTCATGGCTCATGGCTGGCTCCGTGGCTGCATTCCTTTCATGCATGGCACCGCACCCATCACACCCTCCCGCCGCCACACCGACCGATGCTGCCCGCACTGCTCGCTCATATGTATATTTAAATTTTGTGCTACATGTCTGTCTGTCTGTCTGCCTGTCTGCCTGTTCGTCTGCCTGCGTGTCTGTGCGTGTGTCTGTGTGCGTGTCTGTCTGTCTGCTGGGTTGAATCGGTGATAGCCGAGCCAGTGGACCGACACACCAACAGACACACGACACACACACACACCGAGACACCGAGACAGGGACGGTTGAGAACACACGACAGTGAGTGTATGTTATGTATGGTGTTTGATTGATAAAAGTTTCTACATATGAGGGGAGAGGGCAGAAGAGAGAGGGGGGTTTTCTTTAGCTTCCCTTGGTTCTTGCTTGCCTTCCTTCCTATATCCACTCTTCGTTTCTTTCATTCATGTTTTCTTTGAAGCTGCGTGCGTGCACACGCAGAGACACTCTGGCCAAGCATCCAATCCACACGATGTGTGGTGGTGTGTGTGTGTGTGTGTGTTTGCGCTTGCTTACCCGTGACTGACTGCATACCATGCATACACATACATGTACCTATGTGCATCTGCCTATCGGTGCAAAGCTTCCGTAGCCCTGCTGCCTGTCTGTCTGTCTGTCATCTGTCTCTCCCCTTTCATTTCGGTGTTTGTTTTGTCTGTCAATACGTTCCAATGTTATGCTCTTCATCTCATCGACCGACCGGTGTTTATTTGCGCGTTTGAGGACCGATGCAACACACACGGCTGGCTATGTTATGTTGGTCGGGGCCATTCATAAACGCATAGATAAATAAGGTCTGGTTCTGTCGGTGCATGTGGGCCTGGCGTGTTGGTGTCCGTGTGATCATTCATTCTTGTCTGTCTGTCTCGTGTGTGTCGTTTTTGCCCCCTTTCATGTCTCTGTACCATCTCCACCATCTCCATCATCTCCATTACTCACTTATGTAGGCCTGTGGGGGAGGGGAGGGAGGGGGG